GTAAGTCACTCGCTCGGAAGGGTAGGGGGCTGTCGCGGGTTAAAGAGCGACAGACTGCAGGATCCATATAAAAATAATTTTTAATATATCCCGAGAGTTTATGTAAATGATACGAGGGTTTTCAGGAAATTTCAGTTTGAAAAAGACTTCCTTCTCTAAAAGGGGGTTTTTTTCAAGTTTTAAAAAAGCCTTTTATACAGACAAAAAATATTCCTTTTTTTTTTTGGTTTCTTAAAATAGCATAGGTCAGTTTATTTTACATTAAAAACAAGTGAAGGTAGGGGGAGGTTTCGACCATGAGGGGGGTAGGAGGTTGCTGATAAAGAGGAGGGTAGGGGGTCGCTGATCTTGAGGGGGAGGTAGTCGGAAACCCCAAAATGAAGGTAGTTAAATAACGACTCTAAAAGGGAAGGGAAATTGGGACTGATCTAAGAGGAAGGGAGTTGGTCACTGACTCTAAGAGGAAGTAGTTTTAGTCACTGACTCTAGGGAAGGTAGACGATCACGCTCCAAAATGAAGGCAGATCACTGTCCCAACATAAAGCCAGATCATGCTCCAAAATGAAGGAGATCACTGCTCCACATTTTGGCAGATCACTGCTCCCAAAATGAACAGATCCCTGTCTCAAATTTTAACAGATCAGTCCAATAAAGGGAGATCCCGCTCCAACATGAAGGCAGATCATCCTCAAAATTTTGGAGATCACTGTCTCCAAAATAAGGGAATCACTGTCCCAAAAAGAAGGCAGATCACGTCTCCAACTTAAAGGGAGTCAGCTCCAAATTTAAGGCAGGGCACTGCTCCAAAAAGAAGGGGATCCTGTCCCAAAATGAAAGGAGATCACTGCTCCAAAATTAAGCAATCCGTCTCCAAAATTTAAGGGAGATCCCCTGTCCCAACATGAAGGCGATCCTGCTCCAAAATTAAGGAGATCACGCTCCAAAATGAAGGCAATCACTGTCTCCCCCCCCCCCCCCCCCCCCCCCCCCCCCCCCCGGCCCCCCCCCCCCCCCCCCCCCCCCCCCCCCCCCCCCCCCCCCCCCCAACATTAAGGCAGTCACTGCTCAACATGAGGCAACAAGCTCCAAAATGAAGGGGTCACTGCTCCAAAAAAAAAAAAAATTTAAGGGGAGTCACTGTCTCCAAAATTAAAGGAGTCACTGCTCCCAAAATTAAGGAGTCCTGTCTCCAACATAAGGCGATCACTGCTCCAACATTAAGGGAGTCACGCCCAACATGAAGGCAGTCACTGCCCAAATTTAACAGATCACTTCTCCAAAAAGAAAGGGGAAAACACGCTCCAACATAAGGGATCACTTCTCCAAATAAAAGGAGATCACTGCTCCAACATGAAGGGAGATCACGTCCCAACATTAAGGGTCACTGCCCAAAACATAAAAGGGAGATCCTTCTCCAACATGAGGAGTTCACTCCCCAAAAATTAGGGAGATATTTTCTCCAAAAATAAGCAAAACACTGCTCCAAAAAGAAGGCAGACACTGTCTCCCAAAATTAAGGCAGATCACTGTCCAACATTAAGGGAGGTCACTGCTCCAAATGAAGGCAATTTACTGTCTCCAACATGAAGGCAGATCAGCCCAACATTTTAAAGGGAGATCATGTCTCCAACTAGGGGTCACTTTCCCAAAAAAGGGAGTCACTGCTCCAACATAAGGCAGATCACTGCTCCAACATGAAGGCAATCCGCTCCCAAAATTTGGCGATCACTGCTCCAACTTAAGGGAGGTCACGCTCCAACATGAAGGAGTCACTGCTCCAACATTAAGGAGATCATGCTCCCCATGAAAGGGAGATCATGTCTCCAAAATTAAGGCAGTCAACTGTCCAAAATTTTAAAGGGAGTCATGTTCCCAAAATGAAGGGAGATCCTGCCCCCAACATTAAGGGGGAAAACTGCTCCAAATGAAACAGATCAGGCTCCAACTAAGGCAGATCACTGCTCAACAAAAAGGAGATCACGGGCTCCAAATGAAGGCAGATCATTCTCCAACATAAGGCAGATTACTGCTCCAACATGAAGGGGATCACTGCTCCAACAGAAGGAGATCATGCTCCCCCATTAAGGAGACATGCTCCCCCAGAAAGGGGTCACTCTCCAACATTAAAAGGGAGTCACTGCTCCAACATGAAGGCAGATCACGCCCAACTTTAAGGCAGACCTGCCCAAATTAAAAGGGGAAAACAGCTCCAACATTAAGGCAAACACTGCTCCAACATTAGCAGATCACTGCTTCACATGAAAGGCAATCACTGCTCCAACTGAAGGGATCCTGTCTCCAAAATTAAAAAGGGAGATCCTGCTCCAAAAATGAAGGCAGATCACTGCTCCAACTTAAGGGAGACCGCTCCAACATTAAAGGGGATCACTGTCCCAACATTAAGGAGATCATGCTCCAACATTAAGGCAGAAATCAAATGCACCAAATTAAGGGAGTTACTGTCCAACATTAAGCAGATCACTGCCCAAAATTAAGGGAGATCACTGTTTCCAAATTAAGGGAGATACTGCTTTTAACATGAAGGCGATCACTTTCCCAAAATGAATGCAGATCTCTGCTCCCCAGAAGGCAGATCATGCTCCAAAAATGAGGGGAGATCCTGTTTCCAAAAAGAAGGGGAGATCACTCCCCAACAGAAGGCAATCATGCTCCAACTTAAGGCAGTCATTGCTCCCACTAAGGGAGATCATGCTCAAACATTAAGGCAGGATCACTGCTCCCAAAACCCTTTAGGCAGATCATTGTCCACATTAAGGCAATCACGTCTCCAACATGAAAGGAGTACTGCTCCCCATTAAGGCAGATACTGCTCCCAAATCAAGGGAGATCACTGCTCCAACATTAAGGCATCACTGCTCCAACAATTTAAAGGGAGTCACTGCTCCAAAAATTAAGGCAGATCACTGCTTTAAATTAAGGCAGATCACTGTCAAATTAAGGCCGATCACTGCTCCAACATCAAAGGGAGATCACTGCTCCAACATTTAGGAGGTCTGCTCCAACTTAAAGGGAGATCCTGCTCCAACATAAGGCGATCACTGCTTCAAATTAAGGCAGATCCTGCTCCAAATTAAGGCAGACACTGTCTCCAACATGAACAGATCACTGTTCCAACATTTTGGCAATCACTGCTCCAAAATGAAGGGGATCACTGCTCCAACATTAAGGGGGATCACTGCTCCAACATTTAAGGAGATCACTGCTCCACTGAAAGGGGATCACTGCTACAATATGAAGGCAGATCATGCCCCAAAATAAGGCAGATCAGGGAGGTTTTGTAGGTTGGGAGACCCCGGGTAGGGGGTTTGGGAGACAGCAACCAACCCCGGGAAATACTCCCTCCTGCCAGATGCTGTGGGGGAAACAGAAAACCTTTTAAAGTTTTTTCCCTGATGGTAATTTTGGGTTTTTTTTCTGTCTATAAACCGCAGATAACAGGGATATCTTGCTACTCCTATTCACTTTGGGCCAAATTCACAGACACGCACAGTATATTAAAAAACTACATCTGGTTTTTCCCTTTTTCTAAATAGCTCTTGTTCTTCTTTATTTCTTCTATTGTCCATGGGGATGTGGAAAAGAATCTTTCCTCCGTAAGGCATGTGTGTCGTATGAGGCGACTAAAATGCCGGGAGCAATGGGCTAGTAACCCCTTCTCCTGTATACATTTACTAAAAAAGACAAGAAGAAAAACTTTATAAAACTGGGATGCTTAAATGAGCGTGGATGTAGTGCGGATGACAAGAAACAGATGATTGCTGATGTTATGAATGAAAAGAAGTTGGATGTCCTGGCCCTAAGCGAAACAAAGCTGAAGGGGGTAGGGGAGTTTCGGTTGGGGGAAATAAATGGGATTAAATCTGGAGTATCTGAGAGAGTTAGAGCTAAGGAAGGGGTAGCAGTAATGTTGAAGGATCAGTTACGGAAGGAGAAAAGAGACTATGAATGTGTAAATTCAAGAATTATGTGGATTAAAGTAAAGGTTGGATGCGAAAAGTGGGTCATAATAAGCGTGTATGCACCTGGAGAAGAGAGGAATGTAGAGGAGAGAGAGAGATTTTGGGAGATGTTAAGTGAATGTATAGGAGCCTTTGAACCAAGTGAGAGGGTAATTGTGGTGGGGGACGTGAATGCTAAAGTAGGAGAAACTTTTAGAGAGGGTGTGGTAGGTAAGTTTGGGGTGTCAGGTGTAAATGATAATGGGAGCCCTTTGATTGAACTTTGTATAGAATGGGGTTTAGTTATAGGTAATACATATTTTAAGAAAAAGAGGATAAATAAGTATACAAGATATGATGTAGGGCGAAATGACAGTAGTTTGTTGGATTATGTATTGGTAGATAAAAGACTGTTGAGTAGACTTCAGGATGTACATGTTTATAGAGGGGCCACAGATATATCAGATCACTTTTTAGTTGTAGCTACTCTGAGATACAAGGAGAATAGAAGCATCAGGGAAGGGAGAGGTGAAGGTTTATAAACTAAAAGAGGAGGCAGTTAGGGTAAGATATAAACAGCTATTGGAGGATAGATGGGCTAATGAGAGCATAGGCAATGGAGTCGAAGAGGTATGGGGTAGGTTTAAAAATGTAGTGTTAGAGTGTTCAGCAGAAGTTTGTGGTTACAGGAAAGTCGGTGCGAGAGGGAAGAGGAGCGATTGGTGGAATGATGATGTAAAGAGAGTAGTAAGGGAGAAAAAGTTAGCATATGAGAAGTTTTTACAAAGTAGAAGTGATGCAAGGAGGGAAGAGTATATGGAGAAAAAGAGAGAGTGTAAGAGAGTGGTGAAGCAATGTAAAGAGAGAGCAAATGAGAGAGTGGGTGAGATGTTATCAACAAATTTTGTTGAAAATAAGAAAACGTTTAAGGAAGCCTTGAGAACAAATGGATTTGTCAGTTAAAAATAGGAGAGGAGAGTTATTAAATGGAGAGTTAAATGTATTCTGAAGATGGAGGGAATATTTTGAGGAATTGTTAAA